CACCGCGGTGCAGGCGGGTCCTGCAGCATCGTGCACAGGTGGCGCCTCTCCTGCGGAGCGGGTCGTCCGGGGCTCGTCCGGGGGCTTGCCGTCATGTGTCAAAAATATAACGACACGGAGCGCTGCCTGAAAATGACACTCTCGCAACACCACTGACCGCCGGTGACCGCGCACAGGCGCACTGCGGTGCGCGCGTCTCTACCGTCTCTGCGAGATGCTCGACATCCCTCGCCTCCGTCCACGGTCTACTCTCTCCCCCCCCCCCCCGAGGTCTCGCAAGCCCCTCTCTGCTGGCCCGGACACCCATGGCATTACATCGCGTCCCCACACTGGTCGTGGTGTCTGCTCGGGAGCGGTAGTCTCATGCACACCCTCGCCACCCGCCCTCAATAGCGCGAAAGCGACGAGTTCGTCACTCGCGCCATGCCGTCGCCTCAACTCCCACGTTCGAGCTCGCAGCGGCTTGCTGCGCGCGGGTGCGGGAGGGCTCACTCCTTCTTCTTGATGCCGGGCAGCGACTCGAGGTACTCGACAAAGTCGGAGTACTTTCCGATTTGCTGCGCCTTGTCGGTCCCCTTGTACTCGTTGCCAAAGTGGTCGAGCCCGTCCTGCGCGATCGGGGGGGGAGGAGGAGGTGCGGGGAGGAAGTGGAGGTGCGCGGGAGGGGGGGGGGTATGGGCATACGCGGGGGGGGGGGGGGGGGGAAACCTGGGTGGCTCCTGCAGCCCCTTCACCTGCAGCTTTGCGGTCTCCAGGGGGGTGTTGCGCCCACCGTCCATTTTTTTTTTTCGGGAGCCCGGGGGGAAAAAAAACTTCGGGAATGGGTTTTGCCCCCCCACCCCCCCCCAAGGGAACGGGGTCATCTTTAAATTTTTCCCCCCCCGGGAAGGGAAAAAGGGGGGAGGGGGGTCAAAAGGGGGGGGGGGGGCCATGGCCCCCCGGCCTTGTTTTTTCCCGGGGAAAAAAAGGGGGGGGGGGGTGGTTTCCCGGGAAAAATATTTGGGGGAGGGGGCGGGGAAAGTTTTTTTTTTTTTTTTTTTTGGGCCGGAAAAATTCCCTGTAAAAAAAATTTGCCCCCCC